GAGTCCCAGTAAACTAGAACTCAAATTCTTTCCTCCACCCCTGGCAAACCTGACTAAAATGAGGAGAGAAAAAACCCAAATTAGTAGAATCAGGAATGCAAAAGGGGAGATAACAACAAACACCATGGAAGTCCAGGAAATCATCAGAGACTACTTTGAGAACCTATATTCAAATAAATTTGAAAATCTTAAAGAAATGGACAGATTTCTAGATACATATGATCATCCAAACTGAACCAAGAGGAAATTAATCACCTGAATAGACCCTATCACACAAAATGAAATTGAAGCAGCAATCAAGAGTCTCCCCAAAAAGAAAAGTCCAGGACCTGATGGATTCTCTGCTGAATTCTATCAGACCTTTAAACAAGAACTGATACCAACCCTCCTTAAACTGTTCCATGAAATAGAAAGGGAAGGAAAACTGCCAAACACATTTTATGAAGCCAGTATTACACTTATCCCAAAACCAGGCAAAGACACCTCCAAAAAGGTGAACTATAGGCCAATCTCCTTAATGAACATTGATGCAAAAATCCTCAATAAAATAATGGCAAACTGAATTCAACAACACATCAAAAAGATCATTCACCACAACCAAGTAGGCTTCATCCCAGGAATGCAGAGGTGGTTCAACATACGAAAATCAATAAACGTAATAAACCACATTAACAGAAGCAAAGACAAAAACCACTTGATCATCTCAATAGATGCAAAAAAAGCCTTTGATAAGATCCAACACCATTTCATGATAAAAGCTCTAAGAAAACTAGGAATAGAAGGAAAGTACCTCAACATTATAAAAGCTATATATGACAAACCTACAGCCAGCATTATACTTAACGGAGAAAAACTGAAACCATTCCCTCTAAAATCAGGAACTAGACAAGGATGCCCACTATCTCCACTCCTATTCAACATAGTACTGGAATTCCTAGCCAGAGCAATTAGGCAAGAAGAAGGAATAAAAGGAATACAAATAGGTAAAGAAACTGTCAAAATATCCCTATTTGCAGACGACATGATCCTATACCTTAAAGACCCAAAAAACTCTACTCAGAAGCTTCTAGGCATCATCAATAGCTATAGCAAGGTAGCAGGGTATAAAATCAACATAGAAAAATCATTAGCATTTCTATACACTAACAATGAGCAAACTGAAAAAGAATGTATAAAAACAATTCCATTTACAATAGCCTCAAAAAAAATCAAATACCTAGGTGTAAACCTAACAAAAGATGTGAAAGACCTCTACAAGAAGGAGATTGAGGAAGACTATAGAAAGTGGAGAGATCTCCCATGCTCATGGATTGGTAGAATCAACATAGTAAAAATGTTGATACTCCCTAAAGTAATCTACATGTTTAATGCAATTCCCATCAAAATTCCAATGGCATTCATTAAAGAGATCAAAAAATCTACTGTTGAATTTATATGGAAACACAAGAGGCCACGAATAGCCAAGGCAATACTCAGTCAAAAGAACAATGCAGGAGGTATCACAATACCTGACTTCAGACTATATTATAAAGCAATAACAATAAAAACAAAACAGACATGAAGACCAGTGGAACAGAATAGAGGACCCAGAGATGAAGCCACACAACTATAACCAACTTGTCTTTGACAAAGGAGCTAAAAATATACGATGGAGAAATAGCAGCCTCTTCAACAAAAACTGCTGGGAAAACTGGTTAGCAGTCTGCAAAAAACTGAAACTAGATCCATGTATATCACCCTATACCAATATTAACTCAAAATGGATCAAGGATCTTAATATCAGACCCCAAACTCTAAAGTTGATACAGGAAAGAGTAGGAAATACTCTGGAGTTAGTAGGTATAGGTAAGAACTTTCTCAACGAAACCCCAGCAGCACAGCAACTAAGAGATAGCATAGATAAATAGGACCTCATAAAACTAAAAAGCTTCTGTTCATCAAAAGAAATGGTCTCTAAACTGAAGAGAACACCCACAGAGTGGGAGAAAATATTTGCCAACTATACATCAGACAAAGGACTGATAACCAGAATATATAGGGAACTTAAAAAACTAAATTCTCCCAAAACTAATGAACCAATAAAGAAATGGGCAAGTGAACTAAACAGAACTTTCTCAAAAGAAGAAATTCAAATGGCCAAAAACACATGAAAAAATGCTCACCATCTCTAGCAATAAAGGAAATGCAAATTAAAACCACACTAAGATTCCACCTCACCCCTGTTAGAATAGCCATCATCAGCAACACCACCAACAACAGGTGTTGGCGAGGATGCGGGGAAAAAGGAACCCTCTTACACTGTTGGTGGGAATGTAAACTAGTACAACCACTCTGGAAAAAAATTTGGAGGCTACTTAAAAAGCTAGACATTGATCTACCATTTGATCCAGCAATACCACTCTTGGGGATATACCCAAAAGACTGTGACACAGGTTACTCCAGAGGCACCTGCACACCCATGTTTATTGCGCACTATTCACAATAGCCAAGTTATGGAAACAGCCAAGATGCCCCACCACTGACGAATGGATTAAGAAAATGTGGTATCTATACACAATGGAATTTTATGCAGCCATGAAGAAGAACGAAATGTTATCATTCGCTGGTAAATGGATGGAATTGGAGAACATCATTCTGAGTGAGGTTAGCCTGGCCCAAAAGACCAAAAATCATATGTTCTCCCTCATATGTGGACATTAGATCAAGGGCAAACACAACAAGGGGATTGGACTTTGAGCACATGATAAAAGCTTTAGCACACAAGGGAGGGGTGAGGATAGGTAAGACACCTAAAAAATTAGCTAGCATTTGTTGCCCTCAATGCAGAGAAATTAAAGCAGATACCTTAAAAGCAACTGAGGCCAATAGGAAAAGGAGACCAGGAACTAGAGAAAAGGTGAGATCAAAAAGAATTAACCTAGAAGGTAACACACACGCACAGGAAATCAATGTGAGTCTATGCCCTGTATAGCTATCCTTATCTCAACCAGCAAAAACCCTGTTCCTTCCTATTATGGCTTATACCCTCTCTACAACAAAATTAGAAATAAGGGCAAAATAGTTTCTGCTGGGTATTGAGGGGGGTTGGGGGGAGAGGGAGGGGGCGGAGTGGGTGGGGCAGGGGGGAGAAATTACCCAAGCCTTGTATGCACATATGAATAATAAAATAAAAAAAAATTCTTTCCTCCATGTATGTCCATGAAGAAGTGAGTTTTTAAAAATCATTTTGACCTTCATCTCCTCATTTGTAAATTTAGAGTAATACTGCCCATCCTCACCAAGTTATTAATGGCTAAATGAGTTAACATTTGCTAATGATTTTGTTTCAGAACATTTTAGTGCAGATCTTCAAATTGACATTTAAATAAATATGGTTGCTTATGTTGCAACCATATTTCTAGAATGATAGAAGTCTTGTTCCAGGTATTTTAAGACAGGATAAATGTGACAAAATGAAGGCAAGGAACTTGGCTGTCAAGATTCTGGTTAACCTGGAGTTACAAGGCAAAAATTTGAATACTGTGCTCAGTATAGAGGGATATGCATCTTAAAATAGACATTCTGTAAATATATGTAGCAAAGAATACAAGACATCACTTTAGACATGAAAAATAAATTGCATATAATATAGTATGTAAAACATAATTATAATGTACACTTGCTCTTTGCAAAAATTAATTTTAAACATGAAGAGAGACCAGAATATAAACCACAAAGAGTGCCCACACCCAGAAAGCCACATAGAAGCCATGGTGTGGTATGTGGCTCTGTGGGCAAGGGCCCAGAAGATCAGAAGAAAGCTTTCCATGTTTCCTTTTTTAAAGTACTTGCAATTGTTTGATTTAAAATATATATTAAAAAATTAGCTGCAGACACTATTTATAGTTACAGGAACTTTTCAGAGAGAATAGCACAAAAGCACCACAGAGCTACTGAAATTTTAAATAATTCTTTGTAAATGCCCTAGGTTAATTTAGATCCCTGAAAACACATTAGGAAATTAAGCTGTAATGTGAGCTAATTCAGATTTTAATTTGGCAAAAAGAATGATCCAACTACACAGTTAATGTAAATAGAAGCATAACACAGGGAAATTAATGAGATTTCCTTCCGATGCATCTTCAAGGAGGTAGATAATTAGCTTCTTTTGTTATTATTGTAGGGGAATGTGGCATTGTCTCTGAGGTGTAAAATAACTGTGGCTTACTAAGTGATAATGTGCTTCATTTGTCTTTTTTTAATAATTATTTATGTTAAATTCTTGTAGGATGAAGCAGCAGCACAGCCGCTGAATCTCTCATCCAGACCTAAGACAGCAGAGCCTGTGAAGTCCCCAACATCTCCCTCCCAGAGCCTCTTCCCAGCCAGCAAAACCAGCCCTGTAAATCTGCCAAATAAAAGCAGCATCCCTAGCCCCATTGGAGGAAGCTTGGGAAGAGGATCCTCTTTAGGTAAATGGAAAAGTCAACACCAGGAAGAGACTTATGTATTAGGTAACAGAAAGCAAACCTGTATAGTGATGACTGATCCTTGTTTCCAACATGTTCCTTAGTAAAAGAAATACTCTTACCTTTTCTACTGAAGTGAAGAACAATTTTGTATTTTGGGTGATTAGAACTTTCGGAAAAGTCATAATACAAATCTTGCTGGGATGGGTTCTTAAGAGGATAAGTTAGATCCAGCAAATCATAGATTTAGGAATTCCTGGGTTTGGTCTGTGCTTTACCCCTAAAGTAAATCTCTGAAGATGTAAGGCCTGGCCTCAAAGATTCCCACCAAAAGTTTAAAAAAATTGTCTTTGAAACTTTATATTTTCTTTTCAAAATGTATGTGAATTTTACATCTTATCCCATATTAGTTTTATGTGAAGACAAATATGGATGATGCATTTCAATAACAGATGAAATAGCAGTGATATCTAAGAAGTCATGTCCTAGTGATCCTCTTCCTTCTTGCACTCCAAAATATATTGTGAAAGGTCTCTAGAGAGATTCACAATCCTACTTTAAAAATTTGGAGTCAAAACATGGGTTTTAAAATGAGATATGCTTGAGCTATGAAAGCCTTCACCTACTAGCTATGTGACCCAAGGAAAGTTACTTAATATTTTTAATTCATTTTTCTAATCTCTGAAAGGGGAGTAGTACTGCATTGCTCCTAAGTTGTTATGAGGACTAAAAAACAAAAACTCATCTAAAGTGCTTAGCACAATGTCTGGCACCCAGAAAGCACACAATTTTAAAAGACTAGGATAAACGAGTATCAACTTATTTACATATTTAAACTTATTTTCATATTTAAAAAATATGAAAGCACTTGTAGGAGGGAAAGTGCCAAAAAGAATTATTATTGTTTTATATTTTTATGCCTTTAAATTTCCAAATAAATGCATTGAGATTCAAAGAGGGTAGAGATTAGACCTGGAATTTCTTCACTATGTTACTACCTTCCTTGTAATTTTTAAGTCATGGAGCCTGAAATGATTATTTTAATAGATAAAATAATGTACATGCATAGCTATTTATACTTTAAAAACATTCTTGCCTATTTTGTTTCATTTCTCAATAGTAATTTTATCAGTCAGGTTGTGTGGTATTACTACCCTCATTGTACAGGGAAAGTAGAATTGTGGTTCTTGCAGGTAGAATGGCTTAATTATTAATTAGCAGAACAGGACTGGAATCCAGGTCAACCTATACATAACTCAGTACTCTTTTAGTAAACTCACAGTTGGAATATTTGCTAAACTGTGCTGAGTTTAAGTGAATCTTCTAATAGTGAGATGTAAATTTTTCTTGTCAAAATTTGGGAGTTTAAGATCTACATGGCAATCTATTCATACTTTCAGTCACAATGCCTATTTCAGGGACCCAGAAGTTTTTACTCCAAGTCAGTGGTATCCATGTGGAAGAGAGGAGTGATTCATGTCCAGCATGTGAATATAAACAATGTATTTTGGCTGGATTTTTGGAAGTGAGAAAAGAGCTAGAATAAAGATCAATAATAAACTTGATCTTGAGATGGTCCTTCTATAATCCACTTGTGCATTTTGTTTGGAAAACATCTGGTCAGTGTACGTCAGTATCAAGAGCAACAAAGATGACTATGCCACAGGCGCTGCTCCCTATACGTATACTTCAGCACAGCATATTTATTAGGTCATGAACCAGATGAACTGAAGTCTGACCTGAGCTTGAATACCGCTTTTGTCTATATAATGTTCTACAGAAATGGTCTTTTTGTCAGAAAAGCTTCAGAACAAAAAGATATGTGTTATTTAGATCCTATAAAATAACGGACTTTTGAAGACATTTGCAGAGAAAACTTTAGGAATTTTTTTCCAAACTTACATGTATATGTACATGTATTGCACACATAAGACGTGATTGTGAGCTTGACTGTAGCCTGGTTTCCCTTGTTCCTTCTATCTGTGCGTGCACACACATACACACACACATTTGCACTACGAAACGCTCATACCAGATCTCAAAAAAGTGGATCATGTTTAAGCATGCCACAGCAGCTGAAATCTATCTATCACCAAACAATTGACCTCTTTTTATCTATAACTGGGAAAACTTATCCAAAGTGTCCCTTTCACCTACAGTAAAAAGCAAGATATGAAGGAAGATTTGTTTCAGTTTGATTTTTTTCCACTCTTCCATTACAATATAAAAAAGCAAATATTTATTCTCACTTTATTTGAAGATTTGTACTTATGTGAAAGCCATGAAGATAGGGACTGAGAGCAGTGGGTGTTTGAGCTGGGGGTGGGAATGGGCTGTCATTCTCTTGGTAAATAACTGAGGCAGCATGGTGGAAGAATGCTTCATTAACCAGCCAGCAATTGGGGAATGGAGAGTGTGGCGTATTCCTTCCTGCCTCCTCGCTCCTGCGGTGGACACATGAACATGTACACACAGATGTCCCTAAAGCACATATGTAGCCTCAGAGATTTTCTTTTTCTGCTAATTCTGAGACAGTTTTCGTGCATGAGCACGCCAGAGGCAGACTTCAGCCTTCTCTCCACCCTTGCGCTATTCTCCTTCCTCTCCACCGCTCTCCTACAGAGGAGGCAAGGTTGTACGCAAATCATAGACACAGTCAGAACAGATATTATCCTGCAATATACATACAATTATAACCTAGAAACCTCTGTCAGAAGTGGGAAGACAGAACCCACATAGACTGGATTATCTCCAAGAGCTAAAAACACCAGCACAGTTTGGTTGCCCTGGCTTTCTGTGCTCTATGCATAAAATTAGTATTCTATAGGGGAGTGGATCATAGCAATACTTTAAGAGTCTAACCTCAGAAGCCTCTAGTAATACATCCTGTGTGTGCAGATATCCTGTCCAGTCTCAACTCTCCTGCCCTATTTGGAGATCAGGATACAGTGATGAAAGCCATTCAGGAGGCTCGGAAGATGCGAGAACAAATCCAGCGGGAGCAACAGCAGCAGCAGCCACATGGTGTTGATGGAAAGCTATCCTCCATGAATAATATGGGGCTGAACAACTGCAGGAATGAAAAGGTAAAACTTGTTTCCCTCCTTGACTTGATCTGCTAGACCATTCTAGGCTCCTTTTCATCTCACTTTTTTCAGGCTACTAAACATCACCCTGCAGCTGAACATGTGGTCTTCTGCCTTGAGGGCTATCCTATATTGTACTCAAATCTGTCATGTATCACATTTAAGCGTTACTTCTGATGAACAGATATACTCTTTCACACTTTGTGTGCTTGTCTCCCCGGCACCCAACCTACCTGCCTACTGATGTGTTTCTGCACACTCCAAAATACTTAGAAGTGTCCTATAATAAAGGGTACATATGATGTTATTAGAAAGAGAATAGAAAATCAGAGTATTAAAAAGGGAAGAAGCATATATGTTCACAATGAAAGCTAGTGTGATACCATAATTATCCCTTTAATACTAAGCTTCCTACCAACCAGGGCAAAACACAAAGCAATACAGTTTGTAAAATGCACTCTTTCTTTTGATTCAGTGAATGATTTATCTGGTATCTGTTCTGGATAGACTCTGCTCTAGGCACTGGGGATACAGCAATGAGCAAATCTGACAAAACTTCCTGCTGTCATAGAGCTTACAATCTAATAGGTGGACACAGATGATTTGTTTAAAAAAAGGATATAAGATAATATCAAGAGGTGGATAAATGCCATGAGAGAAAGCAGAAGCAAATTAAGAGAATAGACAGGCAGGGCACCTGTGGCTCGCACCTGTAATCCTAGTTATTTGTGAGGCTGAGATGGGGAGAATGGAGGTTCAAGGCCAGCCTGAACAAATAGTTTATAAGACCCCCCTCATCTCCAAAATTACCAGAGCAAAATGGACTGGAGGAGCAGTAGAGTTCCTGCTTTACAAGCTCAAAGCCATGAGTTCAAACCCTGATCTCACCAAAAGAGAGAGAGAGAGAGAGTGAGAGAGAGAATAGGCAGTTATAGGATAGTTATTTTAGATTAGGTGACAAAGACTCACTGGGAAGTGACACTGAATAGAGACCCAAATGAAGCAATGGTGTTGTTATATGAATAGCAGGAAGAAGGCATTCCAGGCAGTAGGAACAAGGTTAGAGGCCAGAGTAGTACAAGAGAAGAGAAAGCATGGGGATATGAAGTAAAAGTAAAATGCTAGTAACAAGTAAAAGTCTACCATGCAGAACATGTTAGACTTGGTGAATCTTGGAAAGGTTCTTCCTTTTTCCTGCACGTGATAGTAATCCCTGGACTGCTTCTGTACAGGGTGTAGACATGATCAGATTTACATTTAAAAAGATCATTTAGATTAGAGGCATGGCTCAAATAGGAGAGCACCTGCTTTGTACGCATGAAGCCCTACATTCAAACCCCAATCCCACCAAAAAAGAACAAAAAAGGACTGGGCACCATGACTCATGCCTGTAATGCTAACTACTTGGGAGGCTGAGACTGAGAGGATTGCAATTCAATCAAGGCCAGCATAGCCAAATAGTTTACAAGACTCCATTTCCAAAATAACTAGAGCAAAATGGACTGGGGATGTGGCTCAAAGGGTAGAGTGCCTGCTTTGCAAGCGCAAGGCCCTGAGTTCAAGCTCCAGTCCCACCCAGTCCCCCCCAAATATATATATATATCATTCAGCCTTCTGTGGAAGAATGGAAACAGAGAACCCAGCTGAGAGGTGATTGTAAGAGACAGTGTGAAAAATTCTGAATACCTGATATAATGAAATATTCTTTTTTTAATAGATAAAAATACTTTCCCCATGCTAAAAACATGGGAGTGCTGCATAAGGACAAATGAGTAGCAGGATGGTCCAGTGGTAATAGTTTCAGAGTAAATTTAAAAAAATACTTCCGTTCATATGTTTATTTGTTGAAGGCTAAGAATATAACAAAGAGCCTCCTCTTTGTTTCAGTCTTGCTAATTCTAGTATGGTTGCTGTGGCAGGGACTCCATTCATCACAACAAAACAGTTTCCCAGTTCCTTGAAGAATTTTTAGATTTACCCGTGAAAGAACTCAGAAGTATGTGATATTGTCCAGTGTTTCCCTCTCAAAAGGTCTGGAAATATTTGTTGGTCTTTTTAATTTTTTTAACACTCTGAGTTGCTTAAAACAATTGGCACATATGCTCTCACAGTTCTGGAGGCCAATCCCCAAGCAAGGTGTCCACAGGTCATGTTCTCTCAGCTCTAGAGGAGAACCCTCCCTTGCCTCTTCCTTGCTTTTGATGGTTGCAACATGTCTTGCCATTCTTTGACTTGCAGCTGCTTCACTCCCATTTCTGTCTCTCTTCGCTAGTTTCATTCCTCTGTGTGTGCTGGCCTCTGTGTGTGCCCGTGTTTAGGGCCCACCCTATTTCCCTGTGACTATATTTTAACTTGATCACATCTACAAAATTTTATTATAAATAAGGTACCTGACATTCACAGGTACCTGAGATTAAAACTTGAATTGGGAGCACAATTCAACCCATTACAGTAGGATACAGAGCTACTGCTCACCTTAAATCAATCTTTTAGTCTTACCTACTATACTCTTGGGTATATGATGGGCCTCTCAAAGCATGTATGTGACCAAAGCCCTCACACAGATTAGGAAGTTTAGCTCTGAAAGAGTGTTGTCTTCCGAAAGCTTAATAAAGAATTTGATTTCATCCTCAGTTCTCAGTACACTGAGTTACATATGAATATATATATATTTCTTTCTTTCTTTCTTTTGTGTCCTCTGAGTATGGTCATGTGTCCCACACATACTCCTCTGGTTCCTGCTAAACGATATATAAACTTTTGTATACTTGGGATTAATCATGTTCTACCCAGTAACTGAATGCCCGTTCCTCACTAAGTGTTCTGGCCCTTTTTGGAACTTTGACAGTCAGCTCACAAGGCAAAGACCCTTTTTAAAGCTGTTCAAGCAGATGGTTACATACACCATGTGGTTTCCAGACCACAAGAAAAGCTTTGCCCCAAACATCTTCTGCCACTCTAATATGAGAAACTCATATAACATATAAAATCCTTTTTGTGACATGAATAAATGAGCAAGTCTTGGCACAGGAATACTAAATGAGGAATTGAGTTAAAACCAAGAGAAGGTAGATGTACCAGGGACCATTTCCTATTTTACAGTTTTGCAAAGGGCTAGTCCTAAAATTAGTTAAAGAAACTTATCAGTGACTTTTAAAAAGGCAAATGCTTAAATTATTGTTATTTATTAGTTTTCAAATAAAAGTTATATTCTTACTGAAAATTCCTATAATAGAGAAAGCTACATGGTAGAAAAACTAATTATTCTCTTACACCATTAATTACCATTAATTATTCAGAAATTTTCTTTGGATAGTAACAATCATTAGTGATTCCAAAATTTCCTTGGCAGAGACAAGATAGTATTAATGAGTTTAAAAGTACATATTTCTCAGTTGGAACAGTAGTCACAATTGTCACTTATGAGCAGTGTGATATTTGGCAAGTTGATTAACCTCTCTGACCCTCAATTTCTTCTATAAAATGAGGGCAGTAATTTAAGTTATAATGAAATACGATATATGTGAATGTACCAGAAACTGAGCTAGGTGTTTTGTCTGGAATTTTTTATTTAATATTTTCAGACTGTAGTTGACCATAAGTAACTAAAAACTCAGAAAGTGAAATGTGGATAAAGGGGAATTATTATAAAATTTTTTCCTGTAAAAGTTTTATTATGCACAAAAAAAGACGATATTCAGTCCTTCTATTTTCTTCATTGCTTAACTCCTCTTGTGTCCTCTTGGCATGAATGTGTGTCCTCACCCTTTTCTTGAGGGCCTGCTTGTCCTTGGAGACCATGAGTAGCTCCATGATACATTACTTGTGTAGGGTAAAGTCACATGTACTTTTTGAACTCTCGTATAGCTATCTTGGTGAGGCTGCTATAACAAATACCATAAACTGGGCATAAGTAGCAGAAGTTTATTTCTTATAGTGATGAAGGCTGGAAGCACGAGATCAGGATACCAGCATTGTTAGACTCTGGTGAATGCTCTCTTCTCAGCTTATAGATGGCCACCATCTTGCTATATCCTCACATGCAGGAAAACCAGAGTTTTGGTGTCTTTATCTTCTTAGAAGGGCACTAATCCTATCATGGAGGCTCCATCCATATGATCATATCTAATCCTAATCACTTCTAAAAGGTCCACTCCAGTTACTATCATGTTGGGGATTAGGGCTTCAAAATATTGACTTTGAGAGGACACAAAAATTCAGTCCATATTACCATATACTATTGAATTTGCATCATCAACTGGAGGTGAAAGTCAAACGTAAACATTGTTAACTTCAAATTCTACAGATTGTTTCTCATTGACTTTTCTTAATTCATTTGGGAGAGAGAAGTCTGAGGTTAGAAATGATAAAAACATTATTTTGCTTTAGAAGACATGAAAGAAGAGATGAAAGATTAGGTTAATATTGAAAAAACTAAATAAATTCAAATTTGACCAAAAACATAATCATGCCAAATATAACTGAATCCCTGAAGGTAAGCTGCAAAATGTTTTTTACAGAACCAGGAAACTGTGGTTTTCTAGTTGAAGGGAGTCTTTCTCGTATAGATACTTTACTGGGGTTGAATTTGGGGCACTGGAAAAATCCATTATATTTAGGGATGTTGTGATCATGAGCTCTCCTTAAGATGATCTCCCTCCAGAATAATGTGGGTGTTTTAACATATGTTTTGTGATTCTTTAGGCTTTGTTTAGTGTTTATAGTGGCTAACTACCCTTGCTTGTCAGGTTACTTGTAGTTAGAAGAATGAATTAAGAACACCACTATAGGACTCCTGTGATGATAGCATCTACTCTCTTATGATTAAAATATCCATCTTAACTTTATGAGCTTCCATGGGGGCACTTCTCTTTTCCTGAGGATTAGATTTTCTTCTGAGTCAAAAAGGGTAAGTATTTAAGTGTAATAAGACTGGAAAATGGATTGTGACAAATTCAATTTAACTGTCTTCAAAATTGTCCATCTTGGAATTATTATCT